CTGTGAAGCTCTTTGGATTTGAACTGAAGGGGGAGGGAGAGAGAGGGTTGGACAGGGTCCCACTCTTCCCACCTTGCCTTTCCATCCTGCTCGCTGTCACCACTGCCCCGTGTCTCCGGCAGCTCTGGCGCAGCCTCCTTGAGGAATTATTTTTAACCGCTGCACATTCATTATCATTCCATCATCACCCCTGCTGGCTGGGCTGCTAATCTCCCGTTGCCCTGGCAACCTGGTCCATCTAACTCCCTGCTCTCTCCCTGTCTCTCTATTTCTCCCCCCCTCTCTGTCTCGCTGTCTCTCCATCTCTCTGTCTATCTTTCCCTCTCTCTCTATTTATCCCTCTCTCTTCCTGTCTCTCCCTCTCTGTCTCCCCCCCCGCCTCTCCCTCTCTCTCCATGTATCCCTCTCTCTCCCCCTGCCTCTCCCTCTCTGTCCTCTCTCTGTCTCTCTCTCCCTCTCTGTCTCTTTCTATCTCTCTCTTCATCCTCACATGTGCTCTCTGATCTCTCTCCTGCTCTCTCCCTCTTGCTTCCCTCTCTGTCTGTCTCCTTTCTCTCCGTCTCTGCTCTCTGGGCAATCCAGAGATCTGTCCCTCGCTGGATGATGAAGATCCCCTATCGGCCTTTTGGAAAGTGCTGTCATATTTTCCGAAGGAGACGACCAGAAGCCGCACTCTGGAGCGCTCGCGCATGGCCGCCTTCCCAATCCGTCTAGTTTTACCCCACATCTGTCTTCACTTTATCCCTCCCCTTGTTTCCATCTCGGCGGGGCTCACTGCCACGCCGGCCCCGATCGGAATGGGGGCTCTGGCGCCGGTCCCTGTATGGGGAGGTATCTGCATACTGCTCACGGGGTCACCTCTGGGTACCCCCACACCTGCCACTGTGGCCTTATTCCACAGACACAGGCGAGAAGTGGCCCGCTTAAGTTGAAAACCGTCCTGTGCGTTCAGAAACTGATGGATCGCGAGGAAATCAATAGCTATTAGCTATCCCCTGTTATTCCCTGAGTTAAAAGCAGCAATCTAGCTTCTGCTTTAGTGAATGCATCTTCCTCGTCTGAGCCGAGCCCCCGCCCCAACCATCCACTATATGAATCCTGCAGCAGACTGGGCTTTCTGCATGTTTGCCTTGGACTCCAGATAGAGGAACATGGGGAGACTTGTGGTGTCAGAGCCTAGATAGCCGTCGGTCACGGACGGCAGTTCATGGTTCCCTCATGTGTCAGCCTGGGAGAAACTGGAGCTCTTTCCACATGCAAACGGGCAAGAGAGGCATCGGCTTCTGCAAAAGAAAAACTACGAAGCATTTGGAAAAAGAGGCAGATCAATCACTGCACAGATTCTTAACTAGATCCTCACTAACACAAAGCTTTTCTTAAACTTTTCCCGGCAGGAAAAATGTCCCATTATTCCATGCAAAGTATCTGAACCTTCCTTCAAAGAAACATCAGCTTGAGAGAGACTTGGACAGGTTAATGTCCAAGCTGGCTCGGGCCTCTTTTTTCCAGGACAGGGAAGGGAGTGTCCTACATTGACAGGTTGAAGGAACTGAGTTTCTATAGTCTGCAGGGAGTGTCCTACATTGATTGAACACGGAGGAACTAACTAGTCGCAAGATAGTCCCTCTGTTCTCATATTCTGGTAGCTCATAAAAACTGAATGTGAAAATCTCAGGTGATCCTTTATCCTATCCATCCATTTTCTAACCAATCGAGCGTCACAGAGGAGCCAGAGCCTATCCCAGCAAGCAACAGGCGCAAGACAGGGTACACCACGGAGGGGATGCCAGGCCATCACAGAGCACACACACGCACGCACGCACGCACGCATGCACACACAACAGGGCCTGTTTTTACCACTTTGGATTTTGGGAGGAAACCGAAGTACCTGAAGGACACTCACACAAACACAGGTCTAGAAATGAACTTTCTGTCAATTTCTGAAAACCTCAAACTGGAACTTGTCTCACAAGCTGTGTACCAGATTGGAAAGGTTACATTTTCTTCGTGATCTGTGTCCATCCATTTTTACTACCAACGTTATTCAGATTACAGAGTCTTCCCCTCGTTCCTCCCCAGTACATGCTGGAATCTTAAAGGTACTTTTTTCCTATCCCTTGATAGGATCCTTTTTCCACCAATCCACTGCAAGTTACAGTTGGCTCCGCCCAGGATGATGACACCTCCAGCCAATCGTCAGTAACTGAGGACAGTGAGGAAGAGAGGAAGAGTGCCTTAGAAAAGAGCATGTAGGTATTCTACCAACCGGAGCCCAGATTCGCATTAGCCTCTCCTTCTGATTGGTCTGACAGAGACACACCAGCACACAGACACACGCAGACATGTACTGATCTGCACTGCAGGCGAACCTCAGAGTACGTTTCTGTTACCTCAACAGCATAGGTGGAATGCAGCTCTGTGCATAGAGCTGTATACAATATTTGATCAGGGGAATCAACACATTTTACACATTTTCCTCTTAAATGAGACTGAATGTGGCAAACCACTTTACATGTCCACACATTTACGGAACAGATTACACCTTAACATTGATGGATCACTGGAAAACCCATGAACTGGGTTATAAACCACCTTGATAGACATGCTCTCCACAGGATACACCTGTAGTGGCCCAAAGAGCAACTAACGTTCTGTAAGCCCTGTTCATGGTACCTGTAGTGATTGAGAGCCATGCAAAGACAGGACAAGACTGATCCCTCCTGATACCTGTCTTCCCCCCTCTCTCCTCCTCTTCCTCTGCCAGGTACGTGCTGAAGGAGCTGATCGAGACAGAGAAGCTGTACGTCAGTGACCTGGGCCTGATAGTGGAGGTGGGTATCTGGGACTGGCACCGCACTGGCAGCACTGATGCCAAACCACCTCCAGCCTGGTTTCATCATGTTGCAGAGAATGTAGGCCAGGTCAGACGCAGTTCAGGCACAGGTCAGGCACAGGTCAGGAGTGCCCAGTTTGTACTGGTCTCTTCAGATTACCAGCGTCTTCACCGCTAGGAGCTGGGAACAGGCTGTTTAACTTGTCCAGTTAAGCCATTAAGTAGTGGAACTGTGCAGTGTATAGCTGAGCTGACACAGCGGTCCTCCAGCAGCACACCTGGACGCTGTCTGCATGCCAGATCCCCAGGCGGTCTGAGCTGCTCGGTGCTGCAATAAAGAGTTTTCCTCCAAGCAGGCCCTGGTGGTGATTTCCAAATCAATGCCTGACCCAGACTGCAGTCTTACTCAATGTTCCAATACAGGATGATTAGAAAGTTAGCAGGCCCATTCAAGCAACTGTATGATGAAAATTGTGCACTGCGGCACAAAGACATTGGGTGTTACAGAAAATGAGGGAACGGGGCCAATAGTGCCCCCCCTGAACACACACCCAACTTGGAGATGTCTGCCGACTTGAAGACTAAGCTTGCCAACAATGTCTCTGGCGCCCCCGTCAGGACAGAATGGCACATGCACACACGCCCACCTCAGTGCAGACCCATCAGTCATTTGGTTCTTGGTGATCCTGGTTCCGGTGATCATTCACAGCACCTGCCAGGAAAGAGAGCTTTGATTGGAGGAGTGAAGCATTTCTCGACGATGTCACTGTAAAGCCAGAGCAGGGATCCTTCCTGCTGGACATTTTTAAGCCCTGCGCCCTCTGGTGGAAAGTTCACGCTGTCACCCTTTGGCACGTGCTGTAGTTGTCCACAGAGCCTGTGGTCTTGTTAGCTTGTGTATGTACTTTTGCCACTCTGCTGTGCACTGTGTTCAGCACACAGCTGTTTGAAAATGGTCTCACCAACGTTTTTCAGTACGTTGCGTGACCTCCGACCCTCACCTCCACCGCCGGTCCACCTGCACTATGGGGTTCAGGTTCGTGGCACATTTCCTGTCTTTTTTCTGCTAAGCGTGTGCGATATGGCTGGCCCTGCGGTCACTCTGTCCTGCTCTGCTCTCCCAGGGCTACATGGCCACCATGAACACCAGGGGGGTGCCCGAAGACATGAAGGGGAAGGACAAGATTGTGTTTGGGAACATCCACCAGATCTTTGACTGGCACAAAGAGTGAGTGCCCACTCCACGCTTGGTGCCCCAGTGGTACTCAGGGGGTAGGGGCTAGGCTGTGCAAATTGGGTAAAATCACAGGACAGTGCAGGAAATTCCAGTGAGATCAGGGAAAAAGCACAGTCCAGTGCAGTAAAGCCCAGTGGGATCAGGGTTAAAGCACAGTCCAGAGCAGTAAAACCCATTGAGATCAGGGTAAAAGCACAGTACTGTGCAGTAAAGCCCAGTGAAATCAGGGTAAAACCACAGTCCAGAGCAGTAAAACCCACTGAGATCAGGGTAAAAGCACGGTCCAGTGCAGTAAAGCCCAGTGGGATCAGGGTTAAAGCACAGTCCAGAGCAGTAAAACCCATTGAGATCAGGGTAAAAGCACAGTCCAGAGCAGTAAAGCCCAGTGAGATCAAGGTAAAATCACAGGACAGTGCAGAAAAGCCCAGTGAGATCAGGGTAAAATCACAGGACAGTGCAGAAAAGCCCAGTGAGATCAGGGTGAAAGCACAGTCCAATGCAGTAACGTCCAGTGAGATCAGGGTAAAAGCACAGTACTGTGCAGTAAAGCTCATTGAGATCCAGTCTGACCTGCTGCCCCCGTGTCTCTGTGCAGCTACTTCCTGGGGGAGCTGGAGAAGTGTGTTGCTGACCCAGACAGACTCGCTGAGCTCTTCATCAAACACGTAAGTCCCTGTGCCCAGCCCGGCACAAACTCAGGCGCTACGTTCTCCAGGTGTGACCCCAAATCCATGTAGCCAAGCTCCACTGAGGAATGAAAGCAATTTCTTGGAAGTGAGATCCGAGCATTCAAGATTTTTATTGCGTTAATCAGGTGACAAATTACAGGCTTTGGTTTAGCTTTCTGGGCTATTGGGGGGCAGCATGAAAATGAACTTAGATCCAGAATCCAGGAATTGCTGCTTGGATGGAGGAGGAGAAGTGTGGCCTCTGTCCACAGAGCAGAGAGATCTGCCGGGTGAGATCGCGCTTGGCTGAGCAGCACCCCAGTGAGCCTGCATCCCGCCAGAGCCGCCAGCCACTACAGCGCTCTCCGGCAGCTGCGATTAACTATGGCAGGAGCTGTACAGAGTGGCAGGGCGATGGTTGGATAAAACTAGGTGTCCGCAGCCCTGGTCCTGCAATCCGGCAACTTCAAATGCTCAGTAAGCCGTGAGCCGGGACAGAGCGATTGTTTGTGCTGACTGAGCCGGGATGGAAACCAGAAGCCCCTCGGGAGATAACACGGCTCCCCAGCTCCAGAGCTGCAGACATGGATAAACACAGATAAGGGCTCGCGGGATTGTTCAGCGGCCCTCCTTACAGGGCTCCTTCTCCCAGCTGGCCGGGCTGCGCAGGAAGCTGAAGTGCAGGGTCAGGGCACAGGTGGGGAGCGACTAGGAAGACCATGAAGAACATGGAGACCACTAGGACGTGTGGGCCTGTCCGAATCCGGGCTTCATTCACAGGGCCCGTTTTCCCTGTACAGGGCTGCGGGGCCATCCGATTTAAATCCAGAGGCCTCCAGTCTTGGATTTTGCACTGAAGTGAAAATCGGGGGGTGTGGGGGGTGTTGGGGGTGACCCCAATCGAAGGACGCCACTGGATCCCTTTTGCACCCCAAAGAAAAGCACACAATAACTGGGGCTAACATATTAGCCCCCCCCCCCCAGTGAAACCTGGAGAGGAAACACAGGCTCTACGTGTCGGCCCATGAAGCCTGTCGTGAGCGTGGGAATGCCAGTCCCGGCTGGCGCAACGGAAAGAAGCCGGAATCTGGGAATGACAGGGTGGGGGCTGCTGACAGACAGGCGGGCTCGAACGGATCCAGGAAGCAGCCAGGAGCACGAGGTGCAGATGCAATATGTCAAGCCCAGAGAGAGCACTTCTCTTCCTGGCATTGAGTGGAAAGTGGGTTTCAGCCGTTATCTCGTCCCCAGAGGAAAACTCTTAAGTGCTCGAGCAGTGTATCACTGCCCCCCCCCCCACCCCCCCCAGGAAAAAGGGGGGTATGAAAGGGTTTCATCGTCCAGGAAATGAGAACAGCATGGCTGAACAAGCAATTTGCTGTCTGCAAGCTGGAAACTGACACCTGCACCTTGGTGCTCATTTGATATTGAGAATAATGCAGTCAAGTTATATACAGTATTATATAGGCCACCACAGGCATACACACGTGCATTCGAGCAAACACTCGCAAACACACACACACACACACATATCTACGCACACACTCGCATGAATACACACTCACACACATCCATGCACACACCTGTTAACACGCACATGAGCAAACACACACTCATTCACATTCATGTACACGCCCACAAACACATGCACACACTCACAGAACAGGCTTGCACATTCATACACACACAAGTGTTCGGTCTCAATTAGGACTGACCACTGGTCAGAGCTGCAGCCTCACAGCTCTTGAGTTCTGGGCTTGAGACTGGGCTGGGACACCTTCTGTGTGGAGTTTGTGTGTCCTTTTTGTGTCTGGGTAGGCTTTCTCCATGTGTTCTTTAAGTAAGAATGATTTATAGCGTTTTACTTCAAGAACAGAAAATCACAACTGCAACCATGTTTTTGTTAAGGTCATGTGATTCTGATGGCCAATAGCACACAGGGAAAGGTCTTCTCTATTCTCATTGGCTGCATGCTAAGACTCCTGGGAGACCCGATGGTGTTCAGGCAGACTGTTGTTATGTGGCTTGCTGGTGTCTTCAAGAAGAAGTGGGACATTCCATGTTGTTTATGAGGCAGAAATGGGGCATAAAACACGATGGTATTTTATGAAGAAACCCCATTCACCCCTGTTTTGAAAGTGCTGCTGTGTCTGTATCCCCCTTCTAGGAACGGCGCCTCCACATGTATGTGGTGTACTGTCAGAACAAGCCCAAGTCTGAGCACATTGTGTCAGAGTACATCGACACCTACTTTGAGGTAAGGGCTGAGACTCTGGACACCTGCAGTACATGGCTGCCCGTGCTCCCCTCCCAGGATCACTTGGTACTGACCACCTGTGGAGAACGGCAGTATAGAACGGGTTGAGGGGGATGGGGGACGGTCACTATGAGACCACCCTACTGTAGCCAGAAATTATGCTTTTTACAGTTACAGGTAGCAATCACTGTTAGCTGTTACTGTTAACTAAACATGAAAAACTAATAAATTCAGTACAGTATGTAGCAAAGCTTTTCAATATCTTTTTTTCATTGCACACAATCAAAAGCCTCCCCCCTTTCTTACTTTGTAATGGACTTTCCCGCTTGCCAGTATAAGTGGGACGTTCCATTTTCTGTAAGTGTGCGAGTGTTGGGGTAGGGAGGGGGGGTTCACTGACAGAGCCCTCCTCCTCGTGCTCCCCTCGTGGACTCACCTGCGCTGTCCAGAGATTTAACACACACATTCAACCCCAGGTGTGGGCTGCCCAGCTGACAGGTCTCGTCTCCTTCTGTCTCTTGTGTCCAGGAGCTGAAGCAGCAGCTGGGGCACCGGCTCCAGCTGAACGATCTTCTCATCAAGCCTGTCCAGCGCATCATGAAGTACCAGCTCCTGCTGAAGGTGAGGGCCGCCCACAGCGGGGGGCGGGGTTCCCCAGCTCTGACCCTTGGGGAGGGCGCCCCAGGACCCAACCAGGTTCATAGGTCTCTTTAAAGTGTGAGACCCCAAGACCAAAGGGAGGTAATGAGAAAGGTCTGAATTAGGGTTATTTGGACCGATTAAACAACTCCTTAGAGGATCTGTTTGGGTGGCATCCCCTGAGGAGCAGGACTGAGGTCCCAGGACACCCAGGGGCGGCCAGTCCTGCTCCACCTGGGCCACAATCCAGTCAGCCTTACAGGCAGTCTTTAATGGTCAGTGAGCAGACATCTGGAGAGCATCCATCCATTTCTAACCACGGGGAGCCAGCACCTATCCCAGCAAGCAAAAGACGCAAAGCAGGATACACCCAGGACGGGACACTAGTCCATCACAGGGCACACAGACACAGGCGCACTCACTCACACCAGGGCCAATTTTCGCAGAAGCCAATTATTCCACCAGCATGTCTTTGCACTGTGGTAGGGAACCAGAGCACCCTGTGGAAACCAACACAAACATAAGGAGAGCATGCAAACTCCACACAGACAGTATCTTGGGAATTGAACTCAGCACTCCAGCACTGCATGCGAGCAATGCTGCCCACTGAGCCAGCTTGCCAGCCAGCTGGAAAGTATGTTATCCTGATTCAGCAGCTAATTGAGCCAAATTAAGCCATTTTGAGGCCAGAATGAAAACCAGACGTTGCTGTAGCTCTCTGGGAGGAGGGCTTCAGGTTCCAGGTTCGAGTGTGAACAGATGTAAGGCCGTTCCTGGTGCAGATCCTACCTGCAGTCTTTTATCCTGCATCTAGGGAAAGGCTCAGCCCAGGAGAAAGCTATCCGCTCTTGCACTGAGCTTTAAGGGTTCAGTTTGAAATCTGCTCAAATTAATGAGCCACAGACCAAACGTGACGGCAGCCGCTGATCGAGATGACTTGAAAGATCCGCGGTCACTGTGCTACGGACAGCGGTAGCAGTAGCTGGGATAAATCGTAATGAATGTGATGGAGAGATGGTGAAATTTCCTCTGAGTATTTGGAATAACCCTCCTCGCTGTGGGGATGGCAGCTGCCTAAACCCTCCTCACTAGTGCGAGAGATAAGGCAGGGAGCTGTTATGAGGGGTGGGAGAATCCTGGGCGCAACACTTCGATACACAGGCAAGCGGAAGTGTGCGAGGATAGGGTCTCACCTTCCTCGTGAATTTCTGTTGTGAACTCCATTCTGTTCAGACCTGCTGTGACTGGCAAATGTGTTGCTGTTACAGATGCCATATTAACACATGTCTTAGAACTTAGAATGGATCCCTAAAGCAAAATGTGGCATCTAGCTAGTGAGATACTGTACTGTATATCCTGTCAGCCTCTTTGAATGAGTCCTAGAACTCCCTGTCCTACAGGGTCTCTGATCCATGGCCTGCTAACAGCCTGTGACCTCTTCAGTCAAATTATGTCATTTAACACTAAGGGAGATACCTGAGGTCATGTGGCATATCTATAGGACTTTAACTTTGTTCTGTAGATGGGTAATTGATTGGTACCTGTCAGCCTTGGTTAAACCATTCAAGTCTGTGGCTTTGTTAATTAATTGAAAAGGCAGCTGTGGTGAGTTCCCACGACGAAGAGGGTGTGTGTGCTTGTGTGTGTGCACTATCAAGTGTCAGAACTGCTCTGTCTCCCCCTACAGGATTTCTTCAAGTACTACACCAAAGCAGGCATGGACACCACACAGTTGGAGGTATGGACAGTCTGGGAGATACAGGACACCAAGCAGTACTACATTGAACTGGACAGTTGTAGGGTCTGTGTAGGGGGGTTATTGCATTGCTGTACAGTCATACTTCTGGCTGGGTGATTGTCAGGCTGGAGCAAAGACCATTAGTCTTCGGACAGCGGTGTGGTGCAGTGGTAAGGCATGTGGACTTGTAACTGGTAGGTTGAAGGTTCGAATTCGAGGTGAGACACTGCTGTTGTTCCCTTGAGCAAAGTACTTCAACTGAATTGTGCCAATCAAATACCCAGCTGTATAAATGGGAGGAAATGTAAGATGCCCTTGGTGAAATTGTCAGCCAAATAAATGAGTAAGCAGGAGTAAAAGGGTCAGGATAAATCTAATCAAGATGTGGGAGGGAAGGCTGTAGTGCGGACTGTCTGCTCCCTTCAAGGTTTGCACCAGGCACCTTCAGAGTCCTGGTGTGTGTCTACTGCTGCCATTTATTTGCTCATTGTGATACAACCGAGACATCATCCATCTTGCTGTGAACACTGGATACAGCACAGACCCAGGCATGGCGCAGGCTTGGTCCGAGCTCTTTCTCATCACGCTGACCCTTGACCCCTGAACCCTGACCTGGTCGCTCTCTCTCCTTCTCTCTCGGGCAGAAAGCAGTCGAGGTCATGTGCTTTGTGCCCAAGCGCTGCAACGACATGATGAACGTGGGGCGGCTGCAGGGGTTTGAGGTGAGATGGGGGGTGGGGGGATTAACTGCATGGCAGTAGTAGGGTAGGAATGTCACTCTCTGCCTGTGCTCATGTACTATCCAGTCAGTGAGTTTGTATGAACCTGCCCACCCATCAAGTACAAATTCAAAGGGCTTTATCAGCATGACAAAGATCATAGTGTTATCAAATCAATAATAATTACCAAAACATTTACTGTTTTAGACATTGCTATAGTTTGCTATAGGCCTATAGTTTTAGTTTTAGACATTATCTGAGAAGCTCATGCTCTTTTCCTCAGGCTGTGACAGGAGATCTCATACTGGGCTGCAGCTTTAATAATTAGCTTTATTTAATTTCCTCCACCAGTAGAATTGGAAGCTGTTATGTTTCTGGCAGAAGGGGGAATTCTGGGATTAGTATGTTATTTTGGGGAAGAATGTTTCTCTAATTCCCCTCACCCTCCCAGGGAAAGATCACGGCCCAGGGCAAGTTACTCCAGCAAGACACTTTCTCCGTGATGGAGCAGGACAGTGGCTTCCTGTCACGCGCCAAGGAGAGGCGGGTCTTCCTGTTTGAGCAGCTAATCATCTTCAGTGAGCCAATCGACAGGAAGAAGGGCTTCTCACTGCCCGGCTACATCTTTAAGAACAGTATCAAGGTGTGTGTCTGTGCTGAGTGTGTGTGTGTGTTTTTCTAGGTGTAGGTGTGTATCTGTGCTGAGTGATTGTGTGTTTCTCCGGGTGTAGGTGTGTGTCTGTGGCGAGTGTGTGTGTCTTTCTCTAGTAGTAGGCATGTGTCAATGGTGAGTGTGTATTTCTCCAGGTGTAGGTGTGTGTCTGTGTGTTTCTCCAGGTGTAGGTGTGTGTCTGTGGTGTGAGTGTGTGTTTCTCCAGGTGTAGGTATGTGTCTGGG